GCTAATCTCAAAATCACTTTCTACAGATATGTTTCCAGCTGCAAGTTCTTGCATCAAACTTTCCAGGAATAGCAGGAAAACAAGAATCACCAGCTTAAAGGAACTAATCATGCCTCCTTCTCAGTTAGTTGTGTCATTCTTATTTACAAGAGGTCAACTGGTTTCTAAGAACACAAAAGGACGCAATTTTTCTCTTTGTACATAGCTCCCAGGACAATTATGTTTGTTACGCAAGTGCATTTACGAAATACAGATCCTAAGATAAAAATCTTTATCTTGTCCAAGTTAATAGCAGAAATCTTCTGGATTTCAGTGGGACAGTTGTTGGAGAAGGGATTATTTCTTTGTTATAAATTAAATAAATCCATCTGATACAGACTCATATTTGATTCAGAACATAAGTTATATGGATCACAAGATGCTATTTTAAGGAATTACTACTGAAAGAAGAATAATTAAAAAAAAATGTATATCCCCTTTTTCGCAAAATATGTAATGAAGTAAAAGACAACCAGAGAAATAATCCCTTAAAAAACACTCAAACATTAAGAATATTTCTAAGCATCTATTTTTACAGTACTTGGATTAACTACATGTTTAACCTACTGCTTTGTGGACCTTCATATCCACACACAACAGTACCATGAGTGACAGTGACCATGAACTACTTCAGAGTAGCATATGTGGAAATTACATGGTAGGTTCATTGCCATTACAAACATCAAATGACATCTAGATAAGCTTCTTTGTCACCCACTGTGCTTTATGCTTCATGAAGATTATGCAGCCAGCCACATCAACTGAATAAGCAGAGGCATACAGGGAGCCTCTCTGCACTACAAGAAAGCACTAGCTTTCAGTAAAATAGTTATTTTAAAACACACAGCACTTTGCTGAAAGATTTTTTCATGTCTACAGGTAGTTCTTGAGGAGATCATCCTCATATCACACCTTTTATCACACTTTTATAGCATTTATCCTATGGATTCAACTGTGGTGGCTTCTGCAGAGGGAAGCTGGCTTTTTTTGTTTGTTTGTTGGTTTTGTTTTGTTTGTTGGCTCGTTTGTTTGTTTTTTAGTGGAAAACAGCAAATACTTGTAGGACTTCCAACGGTATTTTGCACTGATGGGGCCCATTCTCTTCTTTAATTCCAATGAAGTCAGTGCAGAAAATCTGTAAAACAGGTTACAATCTGACCCACAATCCTACTCAAATGCTACTGGGAATCCCTTCCAAAAATCATGTCCAACATTGGTTCTGTTCAGGTGTGATTGTGCCATGGATAGTTGGCTATTTAACCTGAAGTTGCATTCTTATCTTACTGTGTTGCCAACCTGGTGTTGTCCTGAAAACACTAAGCTAGAACAGGATCTTGATCATAACACCATTTTCTGTATTAATCATTCATTTATTCTTCATGAGGATTATGCAGACAGCAGCATCAATCGAATAAATGAGCACAGGCATACAAACAGGTGGAAGAGGCTTCAACACTGACCAACTCACTGTTTGGGCACTTTGCAGGACCAGATCCCTAGTGAAGTAATTCAGAACTTCGGCTGAAAAAAACAGACATTTAGTTTTGACTTCTAGGTGTACAACATTGAGAAACGTTCATGGATCCCACTCTGAAACAGTCATGAACAATGAGAAACACTTTTTGCTGGGAAATTTGCTGTCACTGTGAAATAGGAGTGCCCTAACAAGTGATGTGCATTTTTGGCAGCTTTGAGCCTGGACAGCTTATGGAAGTCCAGACACTGGGTTGCAGCAGCTCTCAGCTGTTTTAGGATTATTTTCATACTCCTCCCACATAGGGTAAAGGGGCCATGCTTCTCCCTTCATCTAAGTCCTCTCTAGCACAGCTGTTTCTCTACCAGCACAGCTGTTGCCTTATAATCAAAGAGCGTCTCAGCATGCAAGTATCCTGAAACAGTTTAGCCCAGCAGTTACATGGAAAGCTGCTTTGGTAAAGATAACCAGCGTCCACAGTCAGTCTCCACAGAAAGGACCACACAACTGAAACCTCTCCTATCATCTCTGGAGCTGAGCTGCTGCTGTTAATCAGCCGTCTGAATAATGATCTGCCCAGCAGACGCAAGGCAGTAGGAGCTGTGAGGTGTCTCATTCCTGAGGGGAAACACTTACTTTTAATACCTTCCAAGATAAATATGTTAATAGGGCCAAGCACACACAGGTAAGAAATGAGTCAGATATATTTTAAGACAGTATACAAATTCCATTACAGGATACCAGCCCTTAGCCCTACAAATAAAATTCTTCCTTCAAGGTGTTGATGCCAGCTTTGGACTGAAACATTCCTAGTCTGTAGGGCTTTCAACTGGTTTCATTTTCCTCCCTCCCTGCCCTCAGTGTGGCAGTGGTCTCTGCTGCTGCTGCCCCCACTTTGTGGAGCATTGGCAGGGCTTTTTCCTTTCCAGTGTGGGGGTTACAGCATGCTGGCCACAAAGTCATCGGAAAAAAAAAAAAAATAGAAAAAGAAAAGAGAGTAATGTACTAAACAGAGATCAGACTCTTGCCGTTCCTTGGTTTCTTGATTAGAAATGTCAGACCAGTGAATCTGGGCATCTTTGTATATTGTAAGCACCCATATACAGAGCCTATCATGATCCTGCACACGTTCTTTGAGACCACTCTGTCTTGTCTGCTCACTTGGGACAGGATCGCCTGTTTCGAGCACCGTCATCAGAAATAAAAGCATTGGGTGACTCCTCTGGGACAGATTATACTGTGGAGTCAGCTCTGTATTTTGGGACACCTGTTTCATCTGAGCTCAGAATTCGGGTTATAGCTCTGCTTTTGCAAGATTGCTGTTCTTGTCAGTAGAGGGCACTGTAGGTATGTATATACCTATATTTCCATTGTGTACACCCGTAGAAACAAATCTTAAGAGGTGGGCAGCACTATCGTTAAGACAGGTAAGGATTCTGGAGCAACGAAGGATCTTAAATACACAGACGAATTTTTGCTCACAATGAGAGAAGCTCACGCTAAAAAGCACTGAGAAGCAAGAGATGCTGCAAATGTATGGTTAAGATCAAATACTAATTCTGAATGTAGCTAGGACTTAATACCTTAGGACAAGATATGAGTAACAGATACTGTAACTCCTAGTTTTCTTTTGTTCGTTAGCATCTCATTTTTTCTTCATGATATCACACAACATTAACATTTTAGTAATTTTTAATATGTATTTTTTACTGTTTTCTACCATTGTTTTCTGTCAAGTCCTTATCTCTAACCAGATACTGTTATATACAAACACACATAACAGGAAAACAGCAAAGGACAAAGGGGATGAGTGAGAAGCAAACAGCATGGAACACAGAAAAACAGACAAGACAATATGTGCTGAGCCTTCTGTTACACAGCTGGTGAGCATGGCATTGCCATTGTGAGCACAATACGAATACAAAACAATGTTGAAACAGGTCACAGAAATGTGCTGAAATTTCATGAACTCTAACTGTACAAAAGACTTGACAAACAAACGACGATTATCTGAAATAATTTCTCAACACCCATTCCAATCCTCCCTTTTTTTTTTTTTTTTTAATCATCCAAACTACAGGAAAGATGAATGCTTTGTCGCTTTCTCTCTCATTTTTTTTTGTTCTAGGTTTGGACCTTCTCCTTCTCTCAGGATTTCAGTAAAATAAGACTGCATTTTCACTCCTTCCCGGGCTTCTTTAGATACTCACACTTCCAGCAATACTGAAAAATTTTCATGTAGGTTTCTGACTGCTCCACTATATTTAAATTGTTAGTTTCTCCTACCTAGTTTCAAGATTTATAAGAGTGAATATGAACTGCCTCAGCTTTGTACATCAGCTGGGGATCTCTTCCAGCAATGGCTATATGTAGCTGTGAAGGTCCTTACACTCCAAGTAATAGTGAAAGATAGCCTGTAAAACATATATCCACTTCAGCAATTAGGCTGCCACTTTACAACTACTTCTATTTTCTGTATGAAATACTACGCATAAGCAAATTAGCCTTTTTCTCCTGGTGTGAAAAGGCAAAACTCATAACGATAACAGCATCTGAAAGCCATTGGTACTGTTGTTGGTATTGCTGCATTAGAAAAAACAATGTGTTCACATGGTAGTTGTATGATCTCTCTGCATGCTGTGTTGCTATTAGTGAAGAAAGAGTATCCCCATTCTGGTCTTTGCATGTGAATGCAATGAAAATCTGCACCAGTTACAAAACGGCCAGGCAGCGTGGCCCCTTCAGTGCCACAGTTTCTGGAATCTGAAGAGTTTTGCAAGATGTAATAAATCGCAATTAACATCCTGCTGATTGCCTTTACGGACCTATGATGCAGAGGATCAAAACACTGATGAACTCCCCGGCTTTGCTGAAATCACGTCATATGAATCCACTTACATGAAGAGATGTGCAAGCTCTTCCCTTGCGTGTGACTCGTGCTTGGTGTATGCTTTCCACTCAGGAGTTTCAGCAGATTATCAGAAAAATCCCATACCAGCTGTGTGGGGTGTGGTGCCTCCACAAAGTTAATAGTAGCATTCCCCTTAGAAGATGAGAGCTTTAAGAACTGAGCATGCTGTATGTCTGTGTATACTACTGCAGGGAACGAGAAATCTGTGCATATGTACCATAGGCATAGGAGAAGCAGTAGCTTTCTCTGTTTCCCTGTGTGCACAGCATCTCCAGTACTGCACGGCGAGGACGTTCTGCAGCAGACAAAGAAAACCTCAGTGCAGCTGGACTCAGCCCTTCATGTGTGACTGCACTGTCCAGCAGCGGTCATTCTTCAGCTCTGAGATCCACCCTTTGTAACCTTTTCTTTGTCTCTCTTAAAATTGAAGGAGAAGAAATTTACAGATCCATAGGTTATTCTCAAAGAAGCTTTTCCATTGTAGTTTTTTGCTGTTTCATTTTGATACATATTTTTTTTTTTAATAATTATATATGTTGTGTTTTGGGTTTTTTTCTCAAGACACAGAACTTTCCACTAGATGGAGACAGGGCACTGGATCACTTTGTCCTCCAGCAGGACACTGACAATCAGGAACACAAAATAAAGCCCAAACATGAGAAAGCCCAGGATTTTATTCATCCTCCACTTGCAGGAAGCGATGGAGAGGATGACAAAGAGCAGCATGATGAAGAGGAGGACGATCGCACAGAACAGACCATTGCTGCTCACTGCCACTGGGGCAAAGCTGTTAATCACAGCATACAGGAGCCACGGAAGAGGAAGGCTGTTAAGAAACAGAAAAAATAAATTTGAAATATTGCAGAGGTGTAGAAAGAGGCACTAGAATGTTTCTGGAGGCACTTCAAAATACAGCCAGAAGTTTCCAGCATAAAGTGAGGCAGGAAAAGTTTCAACTCTGCTAGTAAGTACATAAATCTAATTTGTCAGCTTACTCGTGGTTCT